TCAAACTCATCCACTCAGCATTCTTTGGGCTGTCCTCCCTGCTCCCTGCCCATCCTCCTGTCAAGGCCAGCTTGTGCGCAGCCCCTCCCTGCAAGCATCCTTGACCACCTCACATGGTTGATCTTTATGAAATCCTTTGACAATTTGTTTAAGATTCTTGCCTAGCTTGTGTCACATTGCACCTTATGTAATAGTGCAATCTTGAGGTAGTGGGTGTTTTAGTTGATTTTCTGCAGTATTCTTCCCTGAACACAAATATTATTGTCTTGTTAACATGCTTGCCATTTTTCTGCAGTGTACTTAATTTCTGTGCTATAAACTTAAACAGCCAGAATTCATCACTTAGTTTGATAGTCACATAACAGAAGTTTTAAAGGGAGCTGCAGAAGGAGTGGGGAAAAAGCAGTGCTTCACAGCATGGGCATTCCAGCCAAACTGCTCCATCACTTTCTAGTCATGTGATGTCAGCAAACTGCACACCTCCCAGTGCCTCAGCTTCATCTGTGAAATGGGAATGACAACATACATACTTAAAGGGTCATTGAGAGAACTAATGAAATTAATGTATGTAAAGCACTTAAAATAGTGTATTTTATATACTAAGTACCCAGCAATGTTATCTATTTAACCAATGTCTGTTAAGGAACACACCGGGAAAGATAACCTGGGGCTCTTTGAACCCTGCATTCAAAAATCAAAAGGTGAGGTTTGTATCAATGTATATTTAAAAGACATGCTCACATACTTTCCCTTTTCCCCAAACCTTTTCTCTCCTTCTTTCTCTTTCTGTCTCTCTTAAACTCAATCAGAAGAAACAACATGATGGAAAATGGGCAGAAATTTGAATAGGCACTTCACAAAAGAAGATATATGAAAGAGTATTAAGGATGTGAAAAGATGTTCAACATCACTAGTCATCAGAAAAATGCAAATTAAAACCACAACAAGATAATGCTACAATGGCTAAGCAAAAAAATACTGACAATACCAAGTGTTGATAAGGATGTGGGGCAATTGGAAGTCTCATTCATTGCTGGTGGAATTGCAAAAACAGCACTGCCCCTTTGTGTAGCAGGATGGCAATATCTAATAATGTTAAAGATACATGTATCATATGATTCAGTGATTTCACACCTATGTATTTACCCAAGAGAACAGAAGGCCTAAGACATGGACATGAATATTCAGAACAGCATTATTCTTAATACCCCAAACTAGAAACATCCCAGTGGGATACTAGTTGGCATTTAAAAATAACAGAACATTATATAACAACATGAATAAATATCAAAAGCTTTATGCTAAATGAAACTCAGTGGACTTTCTGCTTCCATTTATACGAAATTCTAAAAAAAGGCAAAACTGAAGTGGTGGCAGATCAGTGGTTTTCTGTGGCTGTCATCAAAGAGAGGTCACCAACAAAGAAGTAGGAGAAAACATTTTAAGGGTAAAGGAACTGCTTTATATGTGGGTTTTGGTCGTGGTTTCACAGTTATTAAAATTCATCAACCTATACTCTTAAAATAGATAAATTTTATTGAATATAAATAATGCTTTAAAGGAAAAAACAAACCCAAAGGCTGATTGCTTAAGTGCCTTTAAGCTTGTTACCCCAGTGCCTTAGGAGTGGTGGTCTTGGGGCCTACTCAGCAGACCTCACTGGAAATAAGGTCCCTCGAGGTTTGTTTCCAGTGGCACCATCATGTGTCCTAGGCAGAAGCTGATGGAAACAAGCTTGTGTTCTTGTCATTATGATATTAGCCATGTTCGTTGACATTACAGCTATTGAAGAAGAATAAAGAATAATAATGAGCTGGATGTTGTCAGCTCACAAATAATTTATAATGGGCAAAGTAGGACAGGGACAGTGCTTTTTTTGGCCAAGGAGGTTGCATCACTCTTTAAAATCTAGGCCAAAAAATTATTTATAATGCATAGACAACCACTCAGAAAATTAAAAGGCTCCTTTCTTCTCTCCCATGTGCTTGAACACTATACTTTTTACCCTGGACCAGCAAAAGACTGAACAGCCTCTTACTGCCACACCTCCAGTAGGTGTGTAACTGAGAAAGCATTCATGAAGATAGTACTCAGGTAGGAATGAGGCCTTTGTACAAACCCCTTAAGAATTTCAGGTCCTCCCAAAAACCCAAGGACAATAATGAAAGGAAAGTGAGGAAAAGGAAGAAACCAGTAGGTATGGGTGGCCACTTTAGGTGCGCTTTGAAGAATTGCCTGAAATATTACCAGAAAACAGCACAAACTGAAGTATAATAAGCAAAATAGCTTATAAGTAAGTGTATTGACATAAAGACAGGTTGTGTGTTATTAGTCAGAGGCAAACAGAGTCATTATGGCCACCATGCCATCAAGGAAAGAGAATTTGTGATGTGTCTCTGTATTTCCAAGGGCTGTTTGGGGAAGCAGAATCTTCACCTGATACTGACACCTGTCAATCTTGACATCTACCCCAAGCAAGGTGAATCCCTCTGATGAGAACAAGTGGTCAGCTTCCCCAGACACCTTGGTCCTAGGCCCCAGGGTGTCAGAGTGTTGATGGGAGAGACCTGGTTCTTCTTGCTGACACATGTAAAGAATTACATATCAGCAAATCTAGTAGTATGTAATGAGTTTATTAGTGGCCTATTCCCATGGAAGAGAACAGAACTGGGTAAAGTAGGGGGTGAAAGGCAAAGTTTCAGGGCAAAGCAGGGTGAGAAAAGCAAGAGAGCAGCTGAAGACCAGGATGGCAAGCCCCTGGGCAGCCTGAGACTGGGTGGCCAGAAGTCCTGTGGTCCGAGAGGCAAGAGCACCCTGAGCCCCCGAGAGAGAGGGAGTCCTTTGTTCTCAGGACTTATATAGTTGGTGGGATAGGAGGGAAAAAAGTTACATATTGATTAATGGGTAAATGTGGTGCCAGCTTTCCTGGGGGTCTGCTAGCCCAAATCCTTATCTTGCTCCAGACCCCATTTGGTCATCTTGTTGTAAAACAAATACATGACAGGAGGCAGTTAATTAAAATTGGGGCACTTTCCGAAGTTATTTATGGGCTCTTTCTGTAAGCATCAGGGACTCCCTCATAAAACAGATAGTGACCAGAGGTAGGCAATTAACCAAAGTTGTTTTATGGGCTCTTTCTTTGGGTACCGGGGACCCTCTCCCACATTCAGGCTTGGGATGAAAGCACAGTTTCATGGCTTTCTTTCCCAGATAGTGAAAATGTTACATAGAATTTCAAGGACTTTACTTCTTTCTTGCTAACATAGTGTTTCTTGTGATGTTGAAACACCTGGCTCAGGACTGCTGAGTTAGCATGTAAGACTTGTCTCCTTCTTCCTCCCTTCCTCGGTTTGCTATTTATTCTACCTAATTGGTAAAAGGCCTGTCCTGGCAACCAGGGTGCTAAATGCTGGCCAGTGACAGAATTGCAGTCTCAGAGTTCTTCTTATGCTGTCTCCTGCTTTAAGAGCAATAGGTTGACCATGTTTGACAGGCCCTGCAGCATGGTCCCTGCTCTTCCAGTGAGTTGAGTTTCAGAACATTCTGTCCTGGGTGAATTTGGGAGGGGTAGGTCAGCTTTCCCAGACCTACATCACCTTTGAATAAGCTAAACCTTGATGAAAGACCTGTCCTATGAAGCTGAGAGCCAGCCCCTAGGCCTGTGGTGTATAATTAAGGGTTGAGGCCTCTAGAGTGGCCTGCTTCCCAGACTTCTCTGGTGAGGGCAGGCTTCCTACATTGTGTCCCTTTAGCCATGACTTCCTCCTCAAGTTTCCAGGGATCCAATGGTTTTTCAGAGGGGCCTCCAGAGAGCTCCTCTTCCCTCACCTGAACAGTTGCACTTGGATCTCTGTGTAGGTATACAGTGTTATATGTTAATTTTTTAACAAACTTTACTTTTTAGAGCAATTTTAGGTTCACAGAAATATAGAAGGTTGTAATAATAGAGGTTACAGAGATTTCCAAGATACCCTCTGGCCCCAAATATTCACAGACTCCCCATTATCAACACCACCCACCAAAGTGGTACATTTGCTATAATTGATAAACCTACAGTGACTGACTCATCATAATCACTCAAAATCCATGGTTTATATGAAGGTTCACTTTAGTGTTGTACCTTCTATGGGCTTGGACATATGTGTAATGACAGTTTGCCATCATTATAGTGTCACAGAGAGTAGTTTCACCGCCCTAAAGAATCCTCTGTGCTCTGCCTATTCATCCATCACTACCTCAACTCCTGACAGCCACTGATCTTTATACTGTCTCCGTGTCCTTTTCCAGAATGTCATACAGTTGGAATCATGCAGTATGTAGCCTTATCCGATTGGCTTCTTCCACTTGGTAATATATGCATTTAAGGTTCTTCTGTGCCATGATTAAAGCCACTCTTTATCAGCATGGCAGCCATAAGCAGCACATGTCATACATTGGCCCTGGGTTGCACATGACTTGCAGATGGTTTCATGTGGGGTATGCTTCATTTCTCAGACAGGATAATGAACTCTGTAGCAGTGACTAGGATATATGCCCTGGGTGGCATTGGTTCTCTGCTGAACACTCAGGACCTGGCTATTCTCCATGACTTGGTGCCAAAGGCTAGGTGCTCTGAGTTGGGGAACATTGTTTGAGGCTAAAGGACTATCTGAGAGAAACCCTTTGGATTGCAGCTTTTAAACAGCATGTTGCTTGTTCTCTGAAGGTCAAAGTTCTGTGACGTCAGAGTGAGCAACATCTGGCAACAACTAATCTATACAATTTTGCATCTGAGCCAGAACTAACTTATTAATGTTGTCTTTCTTTATGGCCAAGAGTCTAGCAGAACATTTTTCTGTCTCCTTTATTCAGCTCTGAACTATGGCAAACGTTACTTTCCCTGAAAGAGTCTTGATCAGATGATCACAACAGAACATGCGCTGATAGAAAGTACCTCTATTTCATAAGAGAACTTTTATGAAGCAGAATTTTCCAGTAACATGTGTGTTCTTTGTTTGCAGAGCTTCTCGAAACAAGTCTGAGAAGAAGCGTCGAGACCAGTTCAATGTTCTCATCAAAGAGCTTAGCTCCATGCTTCCTGGAAACACACAGAAAATGGACAAAACCACTGTGCTGGAAAAGGTCATTGGTTTTCTGCAGAAACACAATGGTAAAAGCTATGCCTTTCTTTGTGTTTTTTCATTCCTGCTCTTTCCTTGGTGGTGACTTTATCAAGCTGGGCTTTCTGCTCAGTTCTCTCTCCCCAGCAAAGCCCAATCTCATCAGTCATAGGCTCCCTCTGTCCAAGGCACTTTGCCCCGTGTCAGAGCCCATCTCCAGCAGGTTTGGAAGAAGATACTCACCTCCCAATTACTTTATTAGCTGTTGGAGAGAATCCATAACAGCCTCACAGGTGGTACCTAGCCCAGTGGAGTGGCATTCACAGTGGAAGCATCTTGATTAACAAGCATTTTTCATCCAGCCCTACAGAAATGCAGTACCCATATTCATTATCCACTGGATCATACTGTACTGGTTCCTCCAACCACCTCTGTCACCATCCCTAAATGATCTGGCCTTCAAAGCTCAGCTATGAAAAAAAATGAAAATCACTAATTCACTTATTAAATTTATTTTAATTAAGACATAACTCATATACCATAAAATTTACCATGTGGAAGTTTATAATTGAGTGATTTTAGTATACTCACAAGATTGTGCAACCATCAATACTATCCAACTTGATTATCCCAAAAAAGAAACTCCATGCTTATTAATATATACTTCCCATATTCCCTCCTTCCAAATCCTGGAAATCATTAATATACTATCTGTCTCTGTGGGTTTGCCTATCTGGGCACTTCATAAATAATGGAATCATACAGTATGCAGTGTTTTGTTTCTGGCTTATTTTACTTAGCATCCATATTTTGTCAAGCTTCTGTATTTCATTCTATTTATGGCCAAAAATATCTGTTGCATTGATATACTAAATTTCTCTTATCCACTTATCAGTTGATGGATATTTGGGTTGTTTCCACTTTATGGCTGTTATTAATAATACTGCTATGAACATGCACATACAAGTTTTTGTTTGGATATATGTTTTCAGGTCTTTTGAATATATACTTAGGAGTGCAATTGCTGGGTCAAATGGCAACATCAATGTTTAACTTTTTGAGAATTAAGAAGCTGTTTTTCAAAGTGGCTGCCCAATTTTACATTTCCAGTGGTAATGTATGAGTGTTATAATTTGTTCATAGCCTCACCAACACTGATTATTGTCTAGTCACCCGTGGATATGCATGAATGTGTTTATTGTAGACTTCCTAGTTGGTATGAAGCAATCTCATTGTGGCTTTGATTTGCATCTCCTTAATGATTAATGATGTTGAGATTTTCCTGTGATTATTGGCTATTTATATATCTTGTTTAGAGAAATGCCTATTCAAATTCTTTGCCCTTTTTAATTTGGATTGTTTATCTTTCTGTTGTTGGGTTGTAAGAGTTTTTCATATATTCTAAATACTAGACCCTTATCAGATACATGATTTACAAATATTTTCCCCCATTCCATGGGTTGTCTTTTTACTTTCTTACTTTTGTCCTCTGACATACAAAGTTTTCAAGTCTGGTAAGTCTATTTTATCTTTTTGCTGTTGGTGGTTGCTTGTGCCTTAAGAATCACAGCTAATCTAAGGTCATGGAGATTTACATTTATATTCCCTTCTAAGAGTTTTACAGTCTTAAGCTAAAGATTAAATATTTAGACATGAGATATAAGTTGAGAACTTAGATATTTGATCCATTTTGAGTTAACTTTTATACATGGAATGAGATAGGGAATTGAAATTCAGCTTTTTGCATGGAGCTATCCAGTTCGCCCAGAGAGCCATTTAAAAAAAAAACTTTTCAACACTTCATATATGTACATAGAATACACATATCGTAACTGTACAGTTGAATGAGTTACCACAAAAAGAACACAACTGGGAAACCAACACCCAGGTCAAGAAAAATAAGCTGCCCCAATAGATACCCCTTTCTTCTTTCTACCTCTGTTTTCCTCAAAGGTCATACCTATTTTGATTTCTAATACCAGAGTTGGCTTTGCCTGTTGGGATATCATTCAGGCAGAATTATATGTATAAACTTGATGTTTGTGAGATTAATATGTGTACTTCTGGTTCTATGGCTAGTTCATTTCCTTTGGTAGAGTATAAAATAGAGTATTCCATTATATGAATTTACCGCTTGAATCCACCCTTGAATTTATGACTTTCCCAACTCATCTTCTCTTCCTTTCACTCTCCTTTAAACTCTTGCCCCCCCCGTTAGCACTGATGACCCATGTGTTTACCTATATACAGTACAAAATATTTGAGAGTAGTTAAGAAGGTTCAATAGATATTAACAATCAAGAGCAGAATTATTTTTTTCTTAACCATGAGAGCATACATAATCAAATCAGAAATGTCAGATTGAGGTGATAACTACAGTTCTTCTGTGTTTGTGATGATGCTTCTCTTCCAGTGAGCATATTCCTAGATAAGATGATATCATGAAGGAGGGCATAGCTGGGACATTATAAAGTTTCATGACATAGGACTTCTGGCCAAGATGGAGGCATAGGTAAATACATTTTGTCTCCTCACACAACCAAAAGAAGGACAACAGCAAATTTAAAAACACAATATAACCAGAACTGCTGGAAAATCAAACCATATGGAAGTCCAACAACCAAGAAATTAAAGAAGAAACATTCATCCAGACCGAAAGGAGGGTGGAGGTGGGCAGCCAGGGTGGAAAGGGCACAGGCCAAGGCAGTGGCTGCTGGAGTAGGTGGTCCCACATCTGCATGCAGATAAACCAGGAGGAACTATTGGGGAGAAAAACAGACCACCCAACCCAGGCTTCCAGCATTGGGAAACAAAGCCTCAAAACTTCTGACTGAAATAATCTGTGGGGGTTGAGGAGGCAGAAAAAACTCCCAGACTCACAGGAAAGATTGTTTGAGAACCCACAGGGTCCTAGAATGTACATAAAACCACCCACCCTGGGATCAGCACCAGAAGCGTCCAATTTGCTTGTGGATAGAGGAGGAAGTGACTGAAAGCTGGCAAAGAGCAGAGCAAGAGGCATTGTTCCCTCTTGGACCCTCCCCCACATACAGTGACACCACTCAGTACTGTGGGTTGCCTCACCCCGGTGAATACTTAAGGCTCTGTCCCTTACTACATAACAAAAGAGCCAAAACAAAAAAAAAATGGCCCAAATGAAAGAACAGGTCAAAACTCTAGAAAAAATACAACTAAGTGAGGGATAGCCAACCTATCAGATGCAGAGTTCAAAACACTGGTAATCAGGACGCTCACAGAAATGGTTGAGTATGGTTGTAAAATAGAAGAAAAAGCAAAGGCTATGAAAAGTGAAATAAAGGAAAATATACAGGGAACCAATAGTAAAGGAAAGGAAACTGGGACTCAGATCAACAGTTTGGAGCAGAAGGAAGAAATGAATATTTGACCAGAACAGAGTGAAGAAACAAGAATTTTTAAAAAATGAAGAGAGTCTTAGGAACCTCCCAGACAACCTTAAACTTTCCAACATCTGAGTCATGGGGGTCCCAGAAGGAGAAAAGGAAGAGCAAGAAATTGAAATCCTATTTGAAAACATAATGAGAGAGAACTTCCCTAGTCTGGCAAATGAAATAGACTTCCAGGAAGTCCAAGGAAGCCCAGAGAGTCCCAAAGAAGTTGGACCCAAGGAAGCACACACCAAGGCACATCATAATTACATTAACCAAGATTAAAGAAAAGAAGAGGATATTAAAAACAGCAAGAGCTTTCTTTTGGAGACAGTTACCTACAAGGGAGTTCCCATAAGACTATCAGCTGATTTCTCAAAAGAAACAATGCAGGCAAACAGGGGCTAGAAAGAAGTATTTGAAGCCATGAAAGGCAAGGACCAACATCCAAGATTACTCTGTCCAGCAAAGCTATCATTTAGAATGGAAGGGCAGATAAAGTGCTTCCCAGATAAGGTCAAGTTAAAGGAGTTCATCACACCAAGCTCTCATTATATGAAATGTGAAAAGGACTTATCAAAGAAAAAAAAGATCAAAAATTCAAACAGTAAAATGACAACAAACTCACAACTATCAACAACTGAACCTAAAAGAAGACAAAACAAACTAAACAAACAACTAATACAGGAACAGATTCACAGAAAATAGAGATCACATGGAGGGTTATCAGTGGGGAGTGTGAGAGGGGAGAATGGGAGACAAGGTACAGCTAATAAGAAGCATAAATGGTAGGTACAAAATAGACAGGAGGTTGAAAATAGTATGGAAAATGGAGGAGCCAAAGAACTTATATGTGTGATCCATCAACATGAACTAAATTGGGGGAATTATAGTGGGAGGCAGGGTACACGAAATAGAGGGATAAAGGGGAGGAAAAAATGGAACAACTGTAATAGCATAATCAATAAAATATATTTCTAAAAAGTTTAATTATATTTTTACTCTTTTATTATTTCTTTAATAATTGTATATACCTATTAAATTATGACAGCAATGACGTGTGTGTGTGTGTGTGTGTATGTGTGTGTGTATCCTTCCTCCTTAGTTTTTCCAAAGCCTCCCAGGGAAAGTAAAGAATATGTTCACTGCTTTTGTTAAAAGTCAAGGAAGAGCCGTCAAGCAGGATTGGAACACGGTGTTGCAGCAGTATTTGATGACGCCAATAATATAATCAGAATGGTTATATTTCTGAAATAATGATTTAGCCAAGTGAAACATCAGATTAGTTTGATTACCAAGATATTTTGTAAAATTACTCAAACTAGGTCAGTGCCACTGAAAAGCAAGACAGCTGTTAAATAGGACAGCTAAGATCATGTTCATTAGTGTGACATTTATTCTGGGCTCTATTGGCTGTGGAATTATAGAATTGTTACATCTAGGACCTAGGAAGAATCAATCAGCATAAATGCAGCCTCCTGACAGCAGGAGTTCCTGTCTCTGTCTTGCTTTTGGCCTACTCTGTACAGTCCTGTGCACCCCTGCATCTCACTCATCCTTTGTGATTTCATATTCAAAAGAAATCAGAAACCGTGTAGCATATTTTGTGGAGAAATACAGTGATTGGATCAAAATTTAGATTA